TCAAGGCGGCTTTTCCACGTTCCAGGAGTTTCTAGATAACCAGCAGTACACCAGAAGAGGAATCTTACGTTACGAGAAGATGTTCGGATCAGGATACGTCAGTACAGGCGGAATCAGCACGACCAAGGTCAGGGATGCAGAATACATAGGGTCGTACATCTTCAGAGGTGCCATGTGATGTAAATTAAAAAAAATAATAATAAAAAAGAAAGAAAGAATATAAGTTAGTAAGAAAGAAAGAAAGAAAATCAAGCAATAATTATAATAATAATAATAATAATAATAATAATAATTATTATTATTATTATTATTATTAAATACAACCTACTTTTTCAAAAGTTGCCCTTCTGTACCTTATTTACCCCTAAAAGATGCATATTAGTACCTTAAACGTATATTAATTCCTAAATGGTACATATTAGTACTTTTTGAAAAGGCACTCCCAAGTGATAGCTTTCTGAGAGTGTATGAATATAAGTTAGGCTATATAATAATATTACAGCTCAGCAGTTCAGTGAACAACATGTTAATTTTGAGTGAAGTATATTTATTTAGATACAATATTACCATTTACTTTGTTTGTTGGCTTTGCTCTGCCAACGAAAATAGTTCCAAACAACGATACAGCAGAACCGTTGCAAAAACGAGCAATATTTGGTCCTGAATCGTTCATTGAATTGTTTTATTATGAATCGTTGAATGAATGATTTAGTCAGTCACTTAATTGTTTCCATTCTGAATGAATAGATGTTTTTATTATGAATAAGTTGAATGAATGATGCAAAAATTCGTTCATAAAAACAGCCACTTGTTTGGTTCCCGGTGAGTATGTATTTTTGAACGAATCTGTTCAAATGATCAATGATTCAATAACTCATTTATAAAGACAGCAGCTTGTTTTGTTTCAAAATAAATCAGCATTTTAGAACGAATCACAGTTAAATGAATGATTCAAGGACTCATTTTTTAAGACAGCCGCTTGTTTTTTCATGAATGAAAACACATTTTTGCTGGAATCTGTTGAATAAATGATTAATTGGCTCCTTTGTAAAGATTGCCACTTATTTCGTTCCTGAATGCATAGGGTTCCCTATCGATACTTCACTCATGCGTCTGCTAAGACGCTGATGATTGAAGCCTTTTTTAATAGTGTAACTGCACAACCATTGGTTTGTGCAGTGAAATAAAAATTAACCAATGGCTTGGCAGCGGAGCTGCACAAGCCTATGGCGATGAAGCCCGCCAGAGCCCGCCAATATGGGTGGGGCCATCTGGCTATATAAGCGGGCATGTCGCCATAGAATTCTCAGATTTCTTCTCCTTCAGCGACGATGACAATCTTCGCTGAGACTACGATACTTGAAACTTTCACCGTAGAAACGCCTCGCAGTGGATGAAGACCCCTTCTGCTCGGCTGAATTTGCCGCTCTCGCAGCCGTCTTCAGCGCACGCAGCAGCACTGGTCTTTTGGATCCCCTGCCACCATCCGGCGATCTCTAAAAGAGCGAATTTAAAAGAGCAAATTACACGGCATTGTTTCAAATGCCGTCCCGTTTCTGTCGCTCGTGCAGGGCTTCCCTGCATGCCTCTGATGGTCACGGCGAGTGCATCTCATGCCTGGGGAAATCCCATGCTGAGGATGCACTCCTTTACGATTTTCCCACGATAGCCCTGATCCCGCAGGTAATCAGG